ATGGTGGCCTCCACAGACAGACGACAACAGGTGCGCTTCACGGCTGCAAGGTAGGTGCGCACGCAGCCCTTGCATCGTCACCCACCCAAGCGTTGGTCTGCTGTTGAGGAGAGGTGGCAGCAGCAGCAGGAAGCTCAAGGTGGGCAGGGCAACGCCTGCTGCGGTGGCAGGCGGGCGAGTTGTGGGGAAAGGTTGGTGAAATGAACTGGGAGGGCAGCGTTCAGTGCCCTGCAGGCCCCAGGTCTGCCCGGCTTCTGGACATTGGACTGTTGGAGGCACAAAGGCTCTTGAGTTACGTTGGTGTTTAAAGTTACATCTTTTGTTGTGGAACAGACATCTCGCTCTGTCACCTCGGCTGGAAGATGCAGTGGCGATGGTCTCGGCTCACTGCAAGACTCGCACGCTCCCAAGTTCAAGCAGATTCATTACTGCCTCAGCGCTCCCAATGTGGGTGGGAATTGACAGGTGTGTACCAGCCATTGCCTGCGCTAGTTTTTGTTTTTTATTGTTTAGACAGAGACAGGGTTCACTATGGGTTAGGTCGTCAAACGCTTGCCTGTGCAAGCTGGTCCTGTTTGTCTGTTGGGACCCAAAAGTGCTGGGAATTCAAGCATGCAGCCGATGGTACGCCAGACTTTTAAAAGTTAACAGTCGTGCCTTAGTTAACTTCACAAGTAAAAACTAAGTTTCATTTAGGGATTCGGTAAGGTCCTGAAAGGGTACAAATGCTCAGTGCTGGGGCCCATTCACTCAGGAGCCTCACAGCGCTGCCTCAATTTATAAGCAGGTTCCCTTAACATGTTTAAGCTAATCTGGAATGTAACAGGGTCTGTTTTCCCTTCTTAACGTGTCCATGGAGCACAACGTGTGGCGTAGAATTCTAACAAGTCAAGATTGAGCAGTGTTAGGTGTGAGTCGAAGTTCTGGAATATTCAGTACTGTCACCCGGTTTATCTCGATGGCCTTAGCCAAGTCTGAATCGCACCACCCAATGGGGGCTCCTTGACGGTCCCCTACCTCCCAGATTCCCCGCATCTTCCAGGGGATGGGAACCCCATAGAACGCTCAGGGCTGGGCAGTGGGCATCGTGGCTCTCAGCCTTCCTAGGAGCTGAGCAGAGGATTCCACTCCACCAGCAGCGGCAGCAGTGTTCCAGATCCAGGGACTTGTGGCACGGAGGGTTCCCAAGGAGCTGGCGCAGACAGGGCCAGGATTGGGGACAGGGCTGCAGCTCAACAGGACAATCCTCGGGTGCTGCTCGCGGAGCTGATCAGGCTCTGAAATCATATCACTTATGTCCCACATTCGGCCTTTGGTTCACGATGCTGCCTGCTTTTTTCATGGCCTGAAATCGACGGCAACACACCGCGTTTTGTGCCCAGTGACCCTTAGTAATTAGTCATAGATGGGAAAGACTCAGCTGGTCTCCACAGCACAGCCTGGCGGCGCCAGAAGGGGAGCAGCACTCCGGGAGTATGTGTGGTGTCGATCTCAGTTGAGTAATCAGGACTCACCGGCCTCTGGGTGGAGTCACCTTGGCCTTGGCATTGTGCTTCAGCTCCTCCAGCACGTAGTCCAGGCACCTGTGGAGAGTGCCACGTGAGCCCAGTTCCAGCCTGTGGTCGCCTGCGCCTCTCATTACCAGCTGCACAGAGAGGCGGCCGAGGGCAGGCCCAGGGTCATCCAGTGAGCTGGCTCTTTCCAAGGGTGTCCACAGGATCCCACAGGATCAGGAGGAACAGGAGCAGCATCTGCCCCTCCCAGCACCTCATGAAAAAGAAAGACCAGCAACCAAGAAGAAGTGAGTGATGTCTGGGACCAGACAATTCACGCAGAACCAGCTGGGGTGCAGTGTCCCTGCATCGAACGTGCCGTGACGCTGGGGACCAGCCCAAACATGGCCGTGAGCCTCATGACAGACACAGCTTTGCTTCTGGGGAGGGATCCTACAGTGCCCCCCGGCCCTGCAAGGAAATAAAAGGGAAGCAGGTCCCTATAGGGTACAGTGGGGGTGGGCATCCTGGTGCACCAGGAAGCCCGAGCAGTACCACCCTCCTGCAGCGAGGACACAGCAGGCTTGACCACGCGCACATTCTCTCTGACCAGCAATTCCAGTTCCAGGAACCTAGGACAGCTGCATCCTCAGACACAAAACCCCTGATGGCCTGTGTGTACCACAGAGGGTCCCTGTTACAATAAGCAGACTGAAACCAGTAAGATCAAAGATGCTGGACACACAGTCCCGGGCACCCCATGCCGGCTGGTAACAGCGCCACTCTGCAAGCCCACACAAGGGGACCCAGATGGAATGAGAAATGAAAAGCACATTGGGCAGAGAACACACTACAACGCAAACAACAATGGCGGAGATGTGTGCGCTGCGGCACGATGGGCACGTCGGTGGCAGGAGGGGAGCTGCAGGCAACCAGGAGACACCTGGGGTCTCTGAATTTGCAGCACACACGCCTCTGAGAGGAAAAGCTCATGGTTGGCCAGCCTGTGCTATGTGAAAAGATCACCAGGAAACTAGAGCAGTAAAAGCAGGTACAGAACAGCTGATGGGCGATCCCACTGTGTGAACTGAAAAGCAAACAGGCTGAGCCTGCGGGGCGGGGAGGGCCGGGTGCTCGTGCACATCTCTGGATCTAAGTGTCTGCAGGAGCCGGCTCAGGGAACCGTGGCCTATTTTGCTTTGTTCAATGGGCTTTTCTATATTTGTAAAAGAATAACCTTAATGTTTTTGAAAAAGCAACACATGACACAAAAGCAGAGGAAATACCAGTTCTGACCTGGGGACACACGAGGCTGCCACTCCTGCTGGGGTCTTCTGGCCCCAGCAGGGTGGGACAGGGTCAGTCTCCAAGCCTCTCCCTCAGGCCCAGTTTCTTGGCGCCCTGCCCTGGGAAGATGGAGGCACGGGAGAGCTGCGCACCTGTGGTACATGGCGTTGGTGGCCTCGTACGTGGGGTTGATGGGGTCCTCATAGCCGATCTCTGCTGCACGGGCTCGCTCCTGGGCCAGGTAGGCGCCCCGCACCAGCTTGGCCCCAAAACACCAGCACTCACGGCGAGCCAGCTCCACACCCAGGGTCACATTGTCATAGGCATCCTGTGGGGCCAGGGCCAAAAGTCGCAGGGAGCCTGGGCAAGCCCAAGTGACAGCAGGATGGGGCCTTCCTGGGCCCAGGTGCAGTCACCAGGGCTGGGCAGCAGCTGCCTGGGGAGGTGCAGCTTAGGGCACCTGGAGCACATGTGGGTGAGGATCTGTCCCCAAGGAGCAATGGCAATGGGGATGTCTGCAGCTTCCTGTGTGGCCCGTGGACAGCCCTGTGGGAGCAGCTCAGGCACCAGCAGCCATCATGTGCTCTAGACTCCCAGGCTGACGGGGGGACGGGTGTGTACTGCAGGCTCCTGCCTGGACCCCTCCCCATGCCGCCCTCTGTCCTCCGGGCACCCGGCTCACCCCTGAGAGCTCTGAACCTGTTAACATCCCTGAGCAGTTTGGGGCCCACAGGCTAGGGTGGGCTCCCTGAATACATGTGACATCCTGGGTGAGTCTTTCTGAAGAGGACCCAAAGCTTTCATCCAGTTCTTAGGGGCGTTGAACTGAAAACACGCTGGAGGAAATGGTCATGTGGCGCCTTCCACGTTTGGGGCGTCGGGCACATCTAGTGGACCCTCATAGAGATCGCTGTCTTCCTCCTGCTCCTTAGACACTCGGCGGGTTCCGAGAACCACAGGAGAGGCTTCGGGCAGCGGGCCCTTCTTCCTACTCTGAGCCAGTCACCCCGGCCTCGGCCTCCTCTGCAGGCCTGGCTGTGGCTACCACCTAAGGGGCTCTTTCCTGGGCCCTGGGGCCCGCCCTGGGTGAGCTGTGCTGCAGAAGACCCCAGCAATCCCTTGGGGGCACGGCCCACTCCCTCCTCCATCCCGTGAGCTCCCTGGCGGGTGCTGAGTATAGAACCAGGCAGGGAGGGGCTGAGCGGGGAGCTTGCCTTGAGGTAGCACTGGTACGTGTTGAAGATGAGCGGCTTCTCCACATTGAACTTGCGCTGCATCTCCAGCGTCAGGCGGCTGATGGCCGGCTGGAAGTAGGTCTGCTCGGCGTCCACCATCAGCCGCACGCCCACCTCTGTGGCTTTCTGAGAGGTGCAGAGGGTGGAGCAGTGGGAGCGACTGTTGCTCAGGTGAGGCAGGTGCCCTCTTCTGCACGAGTCCCAGGTCCCCAAGGCCCTAGCCCTCTGCCCAAGCAGGGCAGCTCACCTTGGCCAGGACATCCATCCGCTGTAGCATCCTCGTCATCTGTAGCTCCTCCTCCTCAGTGAACCGGGACAGCAGGGGCTCCAGCTGTCCTGTCTGGGGGTGCAGCACATGGTCAGGCCACAAGCGAGGGCTGGAAAGTGCCACCCTGAGGCCCAGGCTAAACCTTTCTCCACGTTCCCAGCCCACGGGAACCCTCTGACCCGCCCACGCAGGGCCGGGAGGGCCACCTGGACAGAGCAACACAGTGCCCGGGAACCTCCAACGCAGCCAGTGCACTGCCCTACGTGGGCCTGGTGGCACCATGAGGGAGCTCATTGGCCATGTCCGTGGGCCCCAGGCTCAGTCCAGGCCTGCACCCCAAAGTGTGTACTCTAGCAGCCTCCCCAGTTCCCACAGAGGCCCCACTGTTGTGGGAGGGCCCCCTGCAGCTCCCATGTGACACTGAGGAAGTGAACACTGACCACCCAATCGTCAAACAGAAGGGCTCCGCCCGGAGCAGGGAGAGGACCCAGGAGGAGGAACCCCTGGCTACAGGCTGACAGGGCGGTCGTGCAGCACATGCTGACACATGGTTGGGGACCAGGGCAACCTCCAGGACGAGGCCTTCAAGGAGCTGGTGCTCAGAGGCCATGGGGACCCATCCTGCAGGGCCTCCCACTCACCCCTTTGCTGCCCCAGCAGCCTCGCCTCACTGAGCACACACAGTACCGCTCTAGCCCTTGCTACACCATGCTAAAGTCTCCAGCAGCTGGTGGCCTTGGTGCAGAGCCGCTCTGCACACACGGCGCCCCGAGGCTCTGGGTCGAGCTCTCTAAGTTTGAGGCTGGGCCCTCAGTGGACTGGGGCTGGATGTGTCACGGAAAGCTGCCTCTGCAGGATGTTTTCTGCAGGTGCTTCTGTTCTTTCTTCGAATCCCAGCTTAGGCTGTGGTTTCAAGCATTCTGCCAGGTCCTGGGCCCCCCTCCCACAGGCAGATGACTCTCATTCCTCTCCCCGCTGTACACAGGCTGGCCTGGTGACATGCTTCTAACACACAGAACTCGGCAGAAAAGAAACCGTGTGACTTTTGAGGTGAGGCAGGAAAAGGTCACCCGGCTTCTGCCTGGCTCTCACGTCTCAGGGGACATTGGCCCTTAGAGCCCAGCTGCCGTGTTGGGAAAAAGCCCAAGCCACAGCCAGCACCAACTTCCAGACATGGGAGTGGGCGCCTCCACCAGGTCCCAGCCCACCACTCTGTGAGCACAGCTACCCAGGAGACCCCAAGGGAGGACTGCCCGGCTGAGCCCTGTCAACCCCAGAACCATGAGGGAGAAGCAGAGTGACTGCTGCGTTTCAGGCCTCTGAAGTTTGGGGTGACCTGATGCAAAAGACAGATGACTTGGGGAAGGCCCAGACCCCCTCTCCTTGTGGTGTCTTAAGGCTCTGCGTGGGTCTCTGTCCCACCAAGCACTCTGTGGGCACTAGTGGGTTTGTCTCCTTCCCCCTGGACCATAGGGGGTCTGTGGGGCCACAGTGTGCAGTGATCTTGGTCATGTTAAGTTCCCAGGGTGGGCAACCAGAGACACGCGTGGCAGGCTGAACTCCCTTCTCAGCCCAGCGCCCTGCTGAGCAGGGCCTCACCGAGGAGCGGAGGTGTTACCTGAGC